CGTAGCTTTTGCCGGTCTCGAGATGAAAAATCGGCACAGACGAACACACAGACACACACACACACATACAACCTCTCGTCAGTATGCGTTTTCTGCATAGCTGCAAAAAAGCTGCAAAAAAGTTTTTTTGCACAGCTGCAAAAAAGGCATAAAAACGAACAGTTTAACAGCCTGAATGGCGCAACTGATGGCGTGCTGCTGCATTATATCAGGCATCTGAGCATCATTGACCAATTCTGCCCAATGACCCATTTCCAGATTCTTTCGTGAACGGAAAATTAACCGTCTTCAAATACTGCTAAAACTGGCGAAAATTCTGGAAAAATCACAAACGGGTAAAAAAAACCATAAAGGGATCATGAAATTTTGAGAAGTCGAAAGCAATATTAAATCAAACTTCTTTTTCGGCATTCCAGTAAAAACAGGGTATTGGCCTTTTAGCAGGGGTTTCCCTCCTATCGTATTAGCACCTTATGAGTCAATCTCGAAACAAATTTTCCCCCCTAATAATAGCTTTTTTTAGCGTTTTCCTTTCGCAAAGGTGGACAAACAGAGGGAAGCATCGATGGCAATACGAACCCGACGAACACAGGACTGAAGTAGTGAATCTACGCATAACGGAAAGACTTACAAATAGATGAAATGACCGATGGATCCAAAACAACCGCTAAGCAAGAACTGTAACTGTTACCAAAACCGGCTAAATTTGTATAAAAATACCCTTGCTGAATAATCAATTAATCAGAGAACTGCGAGTTATGAAAATGCGGTTTCCAGGCCGAAGTCATGCAGGATCGTGTGTATAGCCTGCAAAAATATCAATAATGTCCTGGCTATCAGTGTGAGTATCCCATGTCAGTGATGTTACTGTAATGCTCCCTCATGCTGAGCGCAGCTAAGACGAACCCATCGGTCCTAGTCTTGCACACATTTTGTTAACCCATCATTTGTCCGATGTATGTGCTCCACTTTTCGGGAGTCGCCCGAGTGGTCGTTTACTTTCTCGTGGGTACCACTTGCTAACCAGCAACGCCTAACAGTTGTCAGCAAAATGAGCAACATGTCCGTCGAAATTTTTACTTTCTGGCGTAGTAATAGATTTTTTTTTGGGCAAAAATTGCAAATAACACAATAGAGTTTGAGTACTGCACAAAGTACGAACAATATTTTTGCATCAAACTTTCATTGCAATATCCGGTCCTAAGCTCCGTTGCAATATTCGGGCACATGAAAATCATCTGTGTATTATGTGCATGACATCTGCATTATCTTAATAATAACAACTTCTGCAGTTCCAAGTTTCACTCTGTGAAATTTTTAGCAAAAAACTTCGTTGTTCTCGGTCACAAAGCGTACAAAACCTTTTCAAAATTCTTTTAAAGAAAAAAAAGCAGAGTTGGAAAATATGTGTAAATGAATTCGTAGAACAGTTAGATGAACTGTAACAGTTCCTAAATTGCCCAAAGAGATAAATCTGCTTGTTTCAGAACGCGATATCTCAAAAGCATTTGTTTAGAAATGTGTATGACTTAACGGAACGAAACATTCCTTTTCAGATACTTGTCTCTCGCCTGCGTATTGCACATTCCTTCTATTTTTTAATAAAACTTTTTTTCCCATCGCTTGTCCTTTGAAAATTTTCCTGTCCTTTATTCCAGCCTCTCATATTACTCAAAAAACCACGTTTTATTATGATAACGTTACAGAACACTAACAGAAACAGCAATTCATTGAAATCCGATAAATTATGCTCAGATCGAAAATTAAAATCATTAAAAAAAATCGCCAAATTAATTCAGTGCTCGTAAACAGGCCAAGACATGTTTGCATCACCCTTTCCAGCGTAAGTTTTCAGCTGACTTAAATCCACGGTCAATTTTTTGGATGTTTTTTTCTTAATTCACAAAGAATTTTTTCAGTCTCTGCTCATTGCGTGATTCATTTTTTGCATTTTCATAAGCAATCTGCGATTAGAGATCTTCGTGTAAAGTCCTTTTGGGTTGCAGCTCCGGGCAAATTTCATCGATAAACCATCGGATTGGTTTACAGTTCAGTTTTTTCTTCAGCTCCAATCGTTCGCTCAAATCACCTGCGTCCATCTCTTTCGCTTCCGGTCGTTTTTCATAGAAGTACTTCTAAAAATCGACTCAATATTGACTTAATTTTCATCACAAAAATTGAGCCTTCCCCATCCCTCCTCCTTCCCGCTTTCTATTACGATATAGTGCTGTAATTCATTTTTCACTTCACGTAAAATTTAATGATAATAGGCCGTTTTCGCTTACAAACCACTCCTGGCTTTAATACTACTTCACAATATTATTTTAGCATTGCCGACGAGTATTGCGCAGTGGGAAATAGCATTATTCTTCAGAAAGAACGTAGAGGGCTCAATTCCACCGGTGCGGCAATCAGTCGTTTTACGAATCGTTCATTCATTCCGATGGTAAATGGACAGTGATATATCCCGAGGGAGTCAAACCTGCCATCAGCTTACTGGTAAGCAACGCTCAAGAAAGTTGAAGCAGAAGGACTCAGAATCTGTCTGGCCTCTCATAACAAGCCAGAACAAACAGGTCTTGATTTTAGCATTAGAATTTTTCAGGTTTCTTCAAAATTTCTCCAACTCTTGCTGTAACCTTCAAAAAGTCCTGAAGCATGATCTAATGGAGCGCTACTCTGAGTTAGACTTGTCCAAATCAGCCAACATCTACAAAATTTTGTAGTGCATCAAATATAGGGCTAGAACTGCATGGTACTTACTTCATAATCGTCGAACCAAACTTTAACTGTCCGTAGCGAATTATACAAATTGGAATCCCTGCCCGGTATACTTTTGTATGGACGACGCATACGAAATATGTGACCAACATGACTGCATGGTGCCACTAAAACAGAACCACCACATAACCAGATCTGAAAATTCGTTAGGATATACTCCATGACAGTGTGATTTTCTTATGGATTTGTGAATAACTTTTAAAAATGCTTAAAATTCTTTTTTTTTTGGGAGGGCCGGGGCAGTCCGGCGAGGGGAGGGGGGTGGGGG